TTTATAGCTGCACTTTTTGTTTTCGAAATCGACAAAATTTTGAGCAATCAAATTGTGACCATGCAAAAAAGATAATGTTTTCGATAGACAACGAATTAATTTTTGTTATTTCATTGTTTCATCACCTGATATACTTTATCAAAAGAAAAACAAAAAATACCGCAAGATGCAGCGTGAAAAGCTCTACAATCTGCACAGTAAAGCTTATTGTAATTGTTTCCAGAAAGAGGAAAATTCTATGCGGCCAATTTTCTCAATGCCCAAAATTTGATCCCTGAAAACTTTATCGATTTTGAACACAAAAAGTGCAGCTATAAAATAAGTAGCTTTATGTAAATTGTAGAGCTTTTCACGCTGCATCTTATGGTACACTTTGGTTGTTCATACAATGTATTAAGGGATTGAAAACTAGTCTGTTCTCACACGTTGTGATCTAGTACAACCAGCACACAACCAGCTGAAATAGGTTTTACAGATAATTTAATATTATTATATTAGTTGAAGTACAATCAAATAGCATAGAAAGATAGAGCTTTTTTTTCTCTATCAGACTATATAGAAAGAAAGTTACTTAAAGCTTACCATAAGGTATTAAGGTATCACTGCACGAACTTTTGGTCAGACCTAGTATTTATATGCTGAGTAACCCCTGATACTTAACCTCTGAAGATGACTTAGTTAACATAATAATAATATTACCGAAAATTCAGCAGCCATATCATCAGCTTTTTGTAAATTAAGAGACGGCGATAAAAGAATTGAGGGTTGATGATATCTACAATAAATTGCATCAACTAAAATAAAATAATATAAATGACAGTAACGAATAATTCTATATTTACCTGAATTCGATGATTGTATTCTTCGACAGGGTGTATATGGACAACCAATTTCAATTGCAGTCATTTCTTCAATGGAAGTATCGACAATATTTTTAAAACTACATACTAATCGTCGACATTTTTGATGTCCATCCACAATGATACATCGACTACAATCTGAAGGACAACATTTTATATTTGGGATTGACTTATGTCTGGACCAAAATGTCGTGAATAAATGATACCACCAACCAGAATAACATTCAAAATGATAATTAAGTTCATTACGATTAAGTGAAACCGGTAAATTAACTATTTGCGTTCGTCCTAACATAAATTCAAAGCATACAATTTGATATAATAACCAATGAGATTGAAATAATTTTGCTAATGGAATAGGTTGAAGATTGATGTTGTTATTTTGACGTTCGTAATTATACCGATCAATAAGTATTCGAGAAAAAGCTTGAAATGGACATTGATCATGTAGAAGTTGGCATGTATAATCAAAGAAAGCCGAATATGTAAATGCAAAAGAATCACATAAATAAAATATTTTAAGTGCACTATTTAATGATGATTTATTAATCTTTCGCCATCGATTCTTCAATGAATACCAAGATGAATGATTATAAATTAGTGAACATGTTTTACACTCAGCAGTTACAGCTATTGCTCGAATAATTTTAAAACAGTCAATAACATGAATTAATTTGTATCGATACGAAGTAAGTGATTTTGTGCAATTAATACAGATGTTAGTGAATGGAAATAAGATCAAATCGTTTAAAACATCCATTGTAATATGATTTATATCCAATTTAATAATATTTTGATTAAAATCTGACAGTAATAATACTCGATTAATCATATCTTTATTTATTTCAATCATATTTGTCACCATCATAATATCTTCAGTTGTATGACTGCTGTCATAACGATCATTTACTGCTTGTTTTATCAATTGGGTTCGAGCAGTAGACGGTAAAATTGTTGGTGGAAAATTTGATAATTTAATGTATAATCGACAGACGTAAATTAGAGATACTAAACCAATTGAACAACGAAGTGCTTCAAGAATATCTTCACCATTTGGCATCTAAATTAGTAAACAACTTTAAGTGAGTATACAAAATTAACTATACAAAAAGAATATATATTTTAATCAGTACAATGAACTTTTCCGAATAAAATCAGTGGCTCTTATCGTCTATGACGCATAGACTTTAAAGATGCTCCCGCATTTAAGTTTTAAACATAGGCTTTTGTTGGTGATATAAACTATTATATTTCTATAAGGTAGACTCACGGCCAGACGCTCGCTTATTCTATACAACACATTGACTGAATCTTTTCTGATTATATCAGACGTTTACAGAGCTGTTAAACTTTTAAGTTGGTATGAAATACATACAAATATTATTTTTAAAAGCGATCACATCGATTACAGTATTATTAAAATCTTGGGACGATCAAAAATAGTTATCCCTCCTTTATATCAATATTTACCTTGATTGTAGTGTCGAAAATAAAGATGATATAATTGATTAACGAGTTTGCTCTCTATGGATATGTTGTGATTTGATATTATCAATATGAAAGTAGTGTATCTTTCCACGTACTTATTAAGTTTTAATTTGATATTTAATCTGAATTATTCGTTATCAAATTGCGCTAGGCTATTATACGTTTCTTTTTCTTTCTTTCCTTTTCCGTCAATTTGTTTCTGTCACCGTCTGTTTCTTTCCTTTCCACATGACTGATTCATTTTCATTAGAAAAGGATCAATATATTTCTTTTCTCGAAATATATTTTCATTTATCCATAGAATTTTATTTCAATATTTGAAATAAACTGGAATCAAGCTAAATTCATTTTTTTTAATAACAATATCTTTTCATGGCAGTGAATTTTCACGACATATTAAATACCAATTTATATTTCCTTTAAAATAAAAATATATACAAACAAAAATCAACGTATTCTTTAACATTATTTAACTCAGAAAAGTTCTTTCGATACAAAACCTCGAATTTATTCATTTTCGTTAGATGATTCTTAAAATAATTTAAAGTAAAATATATAAAAATACATATAATAAAGTTCTTCTGAAACAAACGTTTTTAATACATGACCACTGTCTTATGCGAATATTTTTCAAATAATGCATTATAATGCATTGAGACGAAGTCATTGTTTTATTTATAGAATTCTTTTGAATAATGCATTATAATGGATAGTATATTGACGAATTGAAATATTATTCAGTAATAATATATAATAATATATTCACATCAAATCTGTATTAAATATGGGACATGAAGAATAGTAAGAAAAATATTTTTGTAAAAACTGGAGTCTTGAAGCAAAATCAACTATTCTTTTTTCATGTCTGTATATTAATTAATCAATAAAATATGTTTGTCTCTTATTATCCGATGCTGTAATTGATTCTCAAGAGAAAGTTTATAAATATTTATCGTTTCGAATGTACATCTCTCTTTTTTTTAGTTTAATGAATCTTGATATTGAATAAGAATAACGGTGATGTTATACGATTTGTTTTCAGTTGATCTATTTGTATTCTTTTGTATAGCTGATGATGATATAAACAGCAAAACATTTTTCAAAAAAAATGCTACAAGATGTTCCAAAAATCCGTTAGAAACGTTTACATTGATATCTCCTATATAACACGAGTAATTAAATTGCCTGTTTTAATAACATTATAGTAGGTTCTTTTAAGTTAAAAGAACCTACTACAATGTTATTTGTACACGCAATTCAATTTTTTGTGTTATCTAGGATATATTAATGTGAACTTTTCTAACGGATTTTATGAGCATTTTTTATATTTTTCTAAAGTTTTCTTTTTCTTTTTATTGTTCTTTGCCGAAGCGAAAACGTTCCCGATGGCGTTTTTCAGATAATATTCTTTAGCATCATTTTGGTCACGATGTAAAATTTTAGCATAATCTAAATCAATAAAAATAGGAATATTATTCAGACTAATTCTCAATTTAAAAAAAATTACCTCGTATATCTTTTTTCTGTTGATTCGACATTTTAGAAATTTTCATAGATGCTCGAGTGTGTTCATCCGGATAAAGACGTTGAGTAATATGTCTATACGTTTTACGAATATCATAGTCGTCTTTACATTTTGGTAATTCTTTTATAGTTAAGTTTAAACGACGAGCAATCTTCTTTTTTAGCTTTAAGTTTAGTTTTTTTTTAATAGAAGGTGTTGAAATTGTATCATCAGTTTGAGTAGATTTTGAACGATATTCAACTAAAAAATAGACCAATGTTTTAAAACTCTGTTAACCCTTTACAGCCGGATGTATCCATTTGGATACATGAAGCCAATGTTTTACGAAGAAGTAACTTGTAGTGATAATATGAAATGTTTTGACGATTTGATAAATAAGTTAACACATTTCAACACACATTCACGTGTTTAGTAGAAGGAAATAACACTCACTAAGAAAATGGCCGGCTCTATCCAAAATGCTCCAAAATAGCGTCCATATAGAAATAATCCTTTTCTCGTGTCTCTAAATAATCAAACTTCGAAGCAAGCAGTTGTTAATTTTCCTTCATAGACCTACTGTCTATTGGATCACTAAGACGGATTATTTAAAAATTCCGAATAATAAAAAATGGGAATGTATCCATTTGGATACATCCGGCCGCTAAGGGACAAAAATTTTGAAAAAGTCATTTCTTTTTGTCAAGCAAAATTTGATATTTTATGGTTTTTCTTACATCTATATTTGTAGATGAAATCACACGTTGCCTGCTTGTCGATGTTTTGCAGTCCAAAGCTTAAATATTTCTAGAATGTTCTAAGATTCTGCAGTATAGTGCAATAGTAGCTCAATTTTTTTCGAAAATTTCTATAAATTCAGGAATATTGTAGAGAGTTGCTGAATATTTCGTGATAGCCTAGTTTGGAATACTAGAAAATGTTCAGAAACTCTTTAGAATGTTTCTGAATTTCTAAAACTTTTCGAAAAAAATTGAGCTACTATTGCACTATACTGCAGAATCTTAGAAAATTCTAGAAATATTTAAGCTTTGGACTGCAAAACATCGACAAACAGGCAACGTGTGATTTCATCTACAAATATAGATGTAAGAAAAACCATAAAATATCAAATTTTCCTGGACGAAAAGAAATGACTTTTTCAAAATTTTTGTCCCTTACAATGGAGGTGTGTGTATTGATAATCAAAAAGATAGGACATAT